TATGACATCGCAGCTCATCATTACTGATCACAGAACATGTCTGTTCAGGCATCCATTGACACTTCCAATTTCCTGGTTTTGCAAGCGTAAGTCAGTATGAGATAACTTTAATTCTGATCTTAAATCAGCAGGGTTTTTATTACTGAATTTCCCTTTAAAAATGTTACATACAGTTCTGGAAGAAACAAAGTAGTCATTGAGTAGATGTGTACAAATGCATAGGTTTGTCACTGTATGTTCAGAATAGCTCACTTCTGAGTAAGCCTCAGAATTACAGTGTAAGTTTTCTCTTGCCTCCTCTTCATCAGTAAAAGTGATTCCCTCAGCCATCCAAATTCTCACTTTTACCTCAGCTGACAGTTCCTTCCTCTTTCCCCTACCTTCACTGTTAAAATGTTGACAGGAACCAAGGAATTCCAAACACTGCCATGTCCTGGCAGAATTCTAACTGTCGGGTGCAACTGAGAATGCCTGACCTAGCTCTGTGGGCAGCTGCTGCTGCCATAGGCTTTCATGCAGCAACCTCGATACTTCAAGCTGCTCATCATAAACTGGGATTTTTGTTTGGTTTGTTTTGGTCTTGTTTGGTTATGTTACAGGCACTAAACAACTGCTGCCTGCCGCCTTTAAAACTTGGGACAAGGTTGTATTCTGGTGCATGGTTAACTGCAATTCCTTGCACTCCAAAATGTTATGTAGATGCCTTTTTTTTACAGTCTGTCACTTCCATTCTTTGTTGTAAGCATATACATAGAGTGTGCATGTATATGTGTCTGTGCCTGAGGGAGGGAAAGAAGGAGACCAGTGTCAGGAATGAACGAGAAAAACAAAAACAAAAAGTAAATTCAGCCTATTATAAAAGCATTAAAAGGTATTTATTCCTACTCAGGCTTTAAGGTTCAAAATTCAATGAGGAATAAACAACTTTTGCACTTAAAATAACACATTGCAAGTTTATTCCTTTGCTTATTTCAGTGAAAATAGCTACTTTGTGACCAACAACTATCTTGTTTTGTTTTGTTTTGTTTTGTTTTACTTCCACATAAGAAAAATAAACCTGCAAAGTTTAAGTTTCAGGTTTTTCCAGGATAAGAATGTATAGTTAGTTCAGGGATGGAGAGGGAATGCAGGATGACTGGAAGGTGGGTGGCTTTCCCAGAGCATGCCTCTTGGTGTCAAGACACACATTACATTAGAAGTCTATGTTCGGAGCATCCAACATGAGCTTCATTTTACAGAACCTACTGTAGAACCACAGTGTAGAGGGAGCGGAAATATATTGCCCCACCCACCCTTGCTGTAGTCCCAAACCAGACATTCCAGTAAAATTTAGGTAAAGTAGTGGTAAAGGTTTCCTCATGGCATTAAAGTCCAGTCATGTCTGACTCTTGGGGGCAGTGCTCATGCCAGCGTTTGTCCACAGACAGTCTCCGTGGTCATGTGGCCAGCATGACTAAACATCAAAGTGCACGGAATGCTGTTACCTTCCCACCGAAGTGGTACCTTTTTATCTACTTGTATTTGCATGCTTCCAAACTGCAAGACTGGGAGGAAAAATTTAGGGAAAGCTAAATTGGGACTGTAGTACAGTAGGAAAGGATACTACAATTGGGTATGGTAGCAGAAGGTGCTTTCAATTTGTTAATACTTTGTTAATGCTTCATTAAGATAGAGCAGGCCAGTTCACACAGCAAAACAATCCACTGAAGTCTGGAACAAGGTCTGGTGTAGGGTTATGAGGTGCTTGCTTAACTTTCGTATAACCCATGATCGTTGGGTGATGTGACAATCCCTAGTCAGGAGCTGAACAGGCAAAGTGCCAGCTGAACTCTTTTGTGATTGAATGATGTAAGCTATTTTGATTTCTTTAAAGGCAGGATACAAATATAATAAATAAAATATTAATAAACAACTAAGAATAGATTATATGATGATACACAGAAAACAAGCTTTGTAGTTTATATTTTAGAGTCTGGGAAAAATAGGCTTGTTGTACTAAGTTATTTGTATGATGAAATACAGGTCTAGCAGATTTTTTGGATTACTATTTACTGATGTTTGAAATATAAAAGGCAGTATTGATAATGTGATAGCCATGGTTAGTGACACTATAAATATGAAATTCTTTTGCTGATGGCTCCTTTGCACATGGTGACCTATTTTATATGCAACAAAAACTCACTGTGGCTATATTCCTCGATAGGGCGTTTTGTTGCAGTGCGGGCCGCCTGTTTGAATATTCAAGCCATTGTGGGGGCATTCTATAACTTTTTGTTACTTTTGTACCCAACAAGTGTGGGTTGTTGGGTGGTTGACAAGCCACCCAAAACCCAGGTCCGTTTTAGGACTTCTTACTGCATGCAGATGAGATCAGTGAACCAGCAAATTCTGAATCAAGCTTTCAGATTTCAGATTCAGCATACTTCATTCTGTTACTTGTCATGGAACTTTGAGATTTTATTTATTTATTTAACTACTGCACAACAGAGTTTGCTGTGCAAGTCACAACATCACATTAAAAAGCCAATATATAATACAACATTAAAATATTAATATATCATAAAAGTGAACAATACAAAATTTAAAAACAAATTAAAAGGGACAGGCTTATAAATTGAGAAAATCCCTATCTAACAACTACTAGGCCCCAGTCACTAATTAAATGCCCTGCAGTAGAGGACAGTCCTTACCTGGAGCTAAAAGTTGGTGTCAGGTAGGCCTCAGTTTATTCCTTAACTGGGGCACCACCTCTGAAAAGGCCCTTCTTTTTGCACCAGGCCACTATGTTCTCCCTTGGAAGTGGCAATCAGAGGAAGGCCCTAGAATTTGATCATAGTATCCAGGTAGATGAAGGCCAGGAGAGGTGTTCCATCAGGTATTGTGGTCCCAAGCTGTGTAGGGTTTTATAGGCCAAAACCAGCACCTTGAATTGGGATCAGAAGCATATAAGCAGCCAGTGCAAGTAGGCCAGAATTGGTGTTATGTGATCAGACCATATAATCCCTGTTATTAGTCTGGCTGCCCCATTTGTACAAGCTGCAGCTTCCAAACAGTCTTTAAGGGCAGTCTCACATAGAGTACATTTAAAAGCTGTTTGAAAAGCAAAAAAGAAAATAATTTCATGATGCTTGAACTGAAATTAAAAATAAATACTTGACTGAAATGAAAAATAAATACCTCATGGTCTACCTTCAAAGTTTTCCATTTTTAACAAACACCATGAAGGAATTTGGAAAAAAAAATGATTTTTTTTTTTGTGACAAAGTATTTTAGTTTGCTATCATTACCAAGGCAAGAACCCAGTCCTTACACACTAATAACTGTTGACTGTTAAGAATATGACAGCTGCCCAGAGAGTCATCCTGGCTAACAAACAGGGTACAATTTAATAAGCAAACAAATAGAAAGCTTATAAAGTCTGGGTATTTGAATCAATATTTATAAGATACTGAACTGTATTACTCTTTGAAATCACAGATGTTATTAGGAATATTGATATTCATAGAACGCACCCTTACCTGACATTCTGTGAACTCCCTTTTCTCTTCAGCTTCCATTGTCACAATCCATCTCCCTCTGTGCTACTCCTCCTTGGGAGCATTTGGGGGGATTCTTGGGGAGCACCTTCCTGGCAGGTTCCTGCCAGGAAGACTTGGCAGGAAAGTCAGTTTCCGCAGACAGATACCTGGCCCAGCTTTCTCTGTTTTACCTTCCCCTCATAGGATATTACATGTATGTCATCACCCATATTACAATACCTGTGAGAGCTCCATATTTCCTATTAGATTTTATGTGCAGGATGACTCATGGCTCCTGCTATCCATATCTGCATAGTTTTAAATGTGGCCACCTGTTGTCAGTTTGATGGAGGTAGAATATTCTCACCTTGCTGTGATGTTGCTCATCTGACTTTTGGCAGCAAGAACAGGAGCAACATGACCTTCATTTAAAAGATTAATTCTTCTCCCTCTTTCTAGAAACAGCATGATATATTTCTTCTTAACTCCTCTTTTTGATCTACTAAGAGGTAACCTCCTAGAAATCTCTTTAATCACCTGAAACTAAAAATACATTGTTCTTTTGAAGCTCCCAGGTGAACAAAATAAATGAAAAAGGTGGAGTGGAGTATTTTTATATATAAATTATTTTAATCTTGTCATGAATAATCCCAAATTTTATTTTGTAGAATGGGTCACGGTCAGTACAATTTTTTTTATCAGATTACAGGTTAGCTTTTCATAATTGCTGTCAAATATCCATTCAGGAAATTTGATTTTGTGGTTTCTTCACACAATATGTTTGTATTTTAACATTTTCACATGTTTTTCTGTTGCTCAATGAACTTGTGTTGCTATGATGGATGCATTGCAATTGTTTTTCTTTGTTTTACTTCACTGATTTAATTTTATAGTGAAATGATGGTTTAAGATAGTTCCTGAGAGGTATTCATATTTTAAACTCTTATAAAAGCAAAATAGATTACTACCTAATTGCATAGGTAGAGCTTAGTTTATTTTAAGAAACTAAGCCAGAAGCATATATATGTATATGTATGTATTCCAGTATCTAATTATTTTCCTGTCATCTGAAGGTCCAGTGCAATATGGAGTAGTTTAAAAACATACAGCTAGACTGGTGCAGAGTAATACACAGATTTTATTTCACATTCATCCAACCAATCCTTATCATTTCTCTTTACTACCACTAGTCCATATAATACAGCAAAGACATCTGATTAAAACTTGATGCAAACAGGTTTTTTTCCCTCACAACATTTTGACTTTTCATTATGACTACTCATCATACTAATTTCTGATGTATGCATAAACTGTGTGAAAACCATTCCCATTCATTTTCCAGGAATTGGAATTTATTTTTACTTTTTAGAAAGTACAAAGGAATTGAAACATTTGAGATATAATAATTAGCACCTACCTTTCCATTAGAAAGCCCCTTACTAGACACTCATTGTGTTGACTTTGTTTTTCCTTGTGTCGTAGGTCTATTAATACTCTGCACCAGTTTTGCTGTCCAGCTCCATTGTACCATACCCAGCTAACTGTCCCTGCCACACACTCAGAGTACAGGTAAGAGTAGTTATGGTCCACGCACTTGTTCCTTTTCATAGAGAGGTCTGATCATTTAATTTATATTTACTTTTGGTAGCTCTATATGATTTAAAAATTGTGATAAAATATAAAACACTAGATTAGTTCTGTTTTATTTTTAAACATAAATACTTTAAAAGCACCCAAAAAGAATTACAAATAAATTAATACAGATCTCTATAGATTTTCCACAGAAAATTAGGACATTGTATCTGTTTTTCCCAGTTTTCTGGCTCACTAAATAAACAGAATGCCATTTAAGTAAATAATGTACATTAGTGGGAAGGCTTCCAGGAAAGAGGACAGTCCATAAAAGCACTTGAGAAGAGCCTGTTCCATGGGAATGGTGGCAACAGAGAAACAGCCTTGGAGCAAATGAACAGAAAGATACAGGCAGCAGCGGGCACTCTCTGCCATGTTTATTTTTTCCTGAGTCCTCTCTGCTCCCAGGACCCCAAGGCAGCTTACATGATTTTCTTCGAACACCTCCATTTTTATCCTCACAACAACCCTGTGAAGTAGCCTAGGCCAAGAATCAGGAACTTGCCCAAGTTTACCCAAGAAGTTTCATGGCAGAATGGAGGTTGAAAGCTGGTTTCCCCAGGATGCCAGCTCTTTAGTGAAACATTTTTTTTTCCTATTGGGGATTAGTGAAAAGCTGATCGTGCTTGTATTATTCCAGTCAGGAATGGTCCTGGGCACCTCCTTCAGCAGGAGCAGTAAATACATCTTGTTATTTTCCTCCTGAAGTTGCCGAGACCAAGAGTCACAGTTGCCACTAGGGAGAAAGTGCCTGCTGGGAACTGGAAGCATCCACACTGAACCCCTCTGTCTTTCCTTTTGCCCTTCCAGAGGTATGATTGTTGAAACTGCGGCATGAGAACACAATTGGCTGCAACATCAGAAAAATGTAACCTTGCAAACAAGACTTAGTTCACTCTGATGCTGCTCATGAGTCTTAAGGAGGATGTTCATGTGTAGGAGTACCCTGTTCTTGAACCCTCGCAATATCATAGGTACAATTCATATACAAGCACACCTGTGCAGACATGAAGTCCAGCCACTTGAGACAAAGGTTTAGTCCAAAGACATATGAATGAAAATTAATCATGCATGCCGTTCTGTGGCCTACATGCCCAGGCAGTCTTCTCTTGCAAACCAAGCCTTAATGACTGGGAAGATTGTAGCTCCTTCATTACTGTGCTTTACAGTGGGACAGGAGTTGCATGCACCAGGCAATGGGCATCTTTTGCCAACATCTTACACATTCAAATTATAAATTTATGTCTCCAAAGAAAAAACAGCGGTCTTGTGAAGACAATTGTGCAAGCGATTGAAATTCCCGCGCCCCCCCCCCCCCCCCGTTCTGGGTTTCAGCTGAACTTTCTTGCACAGCATTTTTCTGCTACATTAGAAAAAAAGCCCTTCCGTGAGTGGAGCAGGCTTCTTTCTGTTGGCTGAAGAGCACCTTTAAGCCTATGCCGAAATAATTGTTTCTGCTGGAACAGAAAATTAGGGCTGGACTGTTTTCATCCTGTTTTGGCCCATGTGCCTGAAATGGAGCACATTCTCAGCATGGCACCGTTAACAAAGCATTGCAAATTATTCTAAGAGAAGAGAAGAAGGTACTTAACTTTTTTTGGTAGTTTAAAAAATGCTATTTATGGTGATAGTGCTTTCTTTTCTTTGAAATATAAATTGGTAAAAAGCTCTAGTTGCCATGACTGCCGCCGTGGTTACTCCCCAACAATGACACTTAAATCAATTGCTGGTTTATTTCAGGAACAAGGTTTGTATACCTTTACCTTGTTTCAGTATAATTACTAATTATTTTCTCCTGGCCCAAAGACTACTGAAATGGCCCCTTCTAAATTCAACCTGTACATAAGTTTGAAAAACTGGAGGAGGTATTTTGGCTTATCCAAATTGCCCTAGAAGATCAGTGAGCAATACATTGGATCCTCTGAGTCCTCTGGATCCACAAGATCATGCCCTGAAACTCAGCGGAGAGGACAAAGCACCATTGACTCCTGCTCCAGAAGGGATCACTGGAGCAGGAGAGTAGATCTGACCCACCTTCCAGCGGGAAATCAGCTAGACAGAGCTGTGGAAAGAAGCTGTGCCATCTTCGCACATGCCTGAGGGAACCCCCTTGCATAAGTGAGTGCAGTGTTGGGCAGCTCTGTGGAAGAGAGCAGAGCTGCTCAATTGATTCTCCTCCTGCTTCCTCCTCTCATGCCAAAGGAAGCTCCTCATGTTGAGTGAGTGGGAGAAGCAAAAATCACTGTGGTGGGAGTGTCTGGTTGGCAGCAGTGCCTCTCGGCTGATTTTCTGCTCTGCTGACTCCTCCTTTCTTGCTTCTGCTCCTCAGAGATGTCTCCCCAAGATGACACCAGCCGAGCACCTTTATGGCAAGTGGCCGCATCAAAGGGAAAGGTTGTGCTTGCACTCCTTTCTCACTGCTGCTGGTCTGAGAAGCATCCAGCACCCACCCAAGTCCCTTTATGGCAAGTGGGAGTGAGAATGGGGGGTGGCAATGATGGAGGTACACAGTCCCCGACCACATGCTGCGGCCCCACTCATGCGGGAGAGGTAGTGGTGAAATCTACTGGCCATGTGGCTCTGTGGTTCTGTGCTTGGTACCACAGCAAGTTGTGTTTTCTGTGTTCTGAGGACACCGCAAATCATTGTGGCACCAAGAAAACCATAGAGCAGATTGTTGTTTCTGTTTGTGGTTTCTAAAAAGCAAATGTGCTGCTCTGAAATACCGCAACGGAGTTTGGACAACATGACAGACCAACTTACGCAAAAAAAGAAATTGGGATGCTTGTTGTTTTGTGCGAACCTGCCCTAAAGCTTTGCCTTTCTTTTTATCTGCTTCCACAAAATTTGCATAAAATCATTTTTAATCCATTGGAGCGGGAGTGGGAGTTTAACTCACATGGTCCCTTGCTACAGCCTGTGCTGGCCGGGGCTGATGGGAGTAGTAATCCTCTAGGTATTTTGACCCTCAGGTTGCTCACTGCTGCCCTCATTTTTTTTCCTTACTCCAAATAGGCATTTTGTACCGTATAGAAACGTTAGAACTGTCCCATGTATTAAGCAATAATCTGATATCCTTTATAATGTGTAATCTATTTGAATTGTGTATTTCCTTACAAATACTCATTTTCTCTATTAGGCTAGTCTTTCCCCTTTCCTTCTGTACAGAACTCACAAGACTTGGTCTTTGCAGCACACTGAGTTCTGTGAGCTAAACATGAGCTCAGTCTTAGGCATATTTAGACATATTTAGTCTTAAAATGCTATGAATTTTCCAGCTAAGGAGTTGTAGGACATTTTTTAAAATGTAAACAGGCATCATGTCCTTATTTACTTCACACTGAGACAGTTATAATTCTGCATTTCCTCATGATCAGTTGAAGAAAGGATATTTACATGATATAAAATATTTATTTAGGAATATGAAAATTGCATATAAACTCTGATTTCCTTTCTTTAATCCATAAAAGCAAATTATATTAGATAGTGATAATTTGCCAGCTCATGAATACCATTTCTGCCAAATAGTACAGTACAGTGCTGAAAGGTATTTGTATTCACATGGTCTTTGTAAAGAAATGAATCAGCAATGAATCCTAAATCTGTAAATACATATGCATAGTGTATTGTTTCATAAGATGTGTGTTTGCCACATCAGTCATGTCTTACATATATGTTCTCCATCTTCCTAACATTTTCCTCTCTTTCTTCTCCTTATTGGCTTTCTTCTGCTATGAAAATAAGCTATTTGAAACAGTGAATGTGTTTCCCACTTGTAACTGGGAGAATAACTTAGCATGTTTTCTGAATCTTCCTTTTGGTTGAGGGGGTGGGTTGCTCTGTATGCTACCAGAGCTACCCATGTGGTTTCTTAAACGATACGCTAAGCCACAGTCAAGCCAAAAGGCTATCTTGGTCCTTGGCAAAAGCAGCAAAAAAGTGTCGCCACTCTGGCCAAGGGATTGTAGCTGAGGACAGATGGCAAAGTGCCTAGCCGCCATTTGCATGATTGTCATTGGCTTTCCCCCACCCACCTGCCAAAGGCTTTGGCATAGAAATGGCTGTGTGGCAGACCCCTGCTCATCCCCACTGAGGGCAGGGGGTCTGCAGGCAAGGGCAATGCATTTAGCTAGGCCTTCTCCAGGGAAAGCACAGCCAAACAAGTCCTGCTTAGTCCCTGCTTGCAGATGTGATGCAAGATCTTCACAGCTTCAGGCAGGGGAAGCCAAGCTGAATGTGCTCCATCCTCCCTCCACTGCAGCTTCTCGACTCCACACTACAACTAGCGTCAGAAGAGCAGGATTGCACAAAAGTGCTTTTTGTGGCCAGAATCCCTCCATAGTCTCAACATTATTATTGAGAACCATTTGCTGCTAGTTAAACGCCTTGACCAGCTTTTAGGTATCAGTATTCCAGTTGGAACAATAAAGCTATAAATCCTTGCATTAACTGTTGACTGAAAAATATAATAAAACTCTTGAATGCATGTTTAATTCTAATGTTAGAATGTTGGATTAATTCAGAAAATAATCCAAAGGGTTGTCCTTGCAGAAATGAAACATGAACATAAGCAAGAAATCATAGCAGTGCACTAGTTTGGAGTTGTATCTAAATGTTAGTCCTACTTAGAGTAGTGACATTGAAATTAATGTGGTTTAAAGTAGATTATGATTTGATGCAACCCAATTTGGAACATTGTGTGATGTTGCTTAGCTAACTGATAGCTGTTTTATTCATTGCAACAACTTTTTTTCCTAGCAGTTTTAATAATTAATTATTTGTTAGCCTAGTTACTATATACTAATCTGGTTACATTGCTTTCCTTGCTTATTTCTACTTTTTCTAGCCACATTGAACAAAACAAAAATAAATAAAACTAATGTTTTAGGACAGGTAAAAAGCATATTGCTTGCAATCCTAAGCATGGTTGGACTGGGTGTAGGGTTAACCTACAACTCCTGGCAGTTCCTGGCCAGCAAGCTGTGACTCTTCTCAGATTTAAGCTGTAAAAAACATCACTCGGGTTCTCAATTTGGAGCTTCATAGTTGCTAAAACTATTAACTGTTTGATCCCCTTAGCTTGCTTTATGAATTTTGAGAGTTTTACTAAACTTGTCTGGATGAGTTAAGAAAGATCGAGATCTCTATTTAAACATACAAATGGAGGGCATTCACTGACACTGTAAGACGTACATCATTTAATCTTGTTTTGTTTGACGAAGTCTTCTATTTTGTACATGTCAATTTTATTTAAGCCTGCTACACATGGGATGACTTGATAGCTCCCATCATGATCATGTTCACCATCCACCATTGACTTTTCTTTTTAATTTCATGGGTGCATCTGAATTCTTATGCCCATTTCTTAACACATGTTATCTAAAACTGTGTTCTAAGCATCTTGAAACTGGAGACTTTTTCTCTTCTTTCCCTCCCAGTGTTGCCTGTGAAAGCAAAAAGATATTGCAAAGGATGTTATAGTACCAAAGAAATCCCTTCATTTCCTTGCAATACCTACCTGCTTATTCAACACCTCTATGAGGTAAAACCATTATTCTGAGAATATTTGTTTTTTTTGGAATTAATGGCAGTATTTTTGTTTGTTTTGTTTTACTAACTCATACTAGGTAACACTTTTAATGGTGTTTTGCTTCTGAAGCAGCAGAAGGAATGATAATGTTCAACCATATTGCTTATCCTGTTGGCAAGCAATGTTGATATTCAACACTTCTATTCACTTCTAAATAGAAATAACCAGACTTCTGAATAGATGTGGCTGAGATGTGTGTGATGATGGTATCTGTGGCAGGGATACTGGCTCTGAATATGCAGCCATATTTAGTGTTGAAACAGACTCTGTTCTGTTACAACACTCGATATAAGCATGCAAGTGTGTTTTAGACAAGTTTCACATAGCACAGAATATGGATATGAGGGGGCAATGTTTTAAGTTTGTGTAACACTTTTTATCAAAGGCTGTTTTCATGGTTGTACGGACTACCCTTTCCTACTTTCCCAACCCTGCATATTTTTATTCTCATTGCTTCTTTCTTACAATAGATATACTCTCATGAAGAGTCAGCTTTTCTGTGATATGTTTGCAGAATGGAAAGATCAGCGGCAAGAATAGAACTTTGATAGGTTCCTAGTTATAAACATTTTCTAATGTAATTACTAGAAGGCAGAAACTTGTTTAGTATTGGATAAGCAAAGATGGACTAAACTCTAAATTTCCACCCTATGAGTTACTTCAAAAATGCAAGGATTTTAGTTATTTATGTATCCCCATGACTAACTCATAGAAGCATATTGTGTGCTGAACTTGCGCAATAAAGAACTACATTCAAACAGTTTTTTAGTGGTCCAAAAAGTCATAGACTAGGAAGCTGCTTGACTAGATTTGAGGTACCTATCTGGGCTTTGGTCTTGTGTTTTTGTCAAATGGGAAAAAACTGAAAAGCCCCATGCCTTGTGCTGTACAGCAAACCACTTGTAATAATGAGTTAATTTCAGAAGTAATTTCAAAAATAGCAATGGGAGGGATGGAGAGAGCAGGCTGTTCCACTTAAAAATGAAAACTGCATGGCACACACAGAGTACTCTCTCTTTATTGTGGCTGTGTATTGCAATGAAAGTCAGAACAAAATATCATTATCATTGAATAAGATTTGGTAAGACATTCATTCTTAGGAGGACATCTTGCATAGTGACTTCTATTACAATATTCACAATGTAGAGCAAAATTGTCAACTGCTGTATTTATGATCTAGGGAAAAACAAATTAATTTGTCCACTTGCATTCTGTAAGAAATAGCTGACAGATACCATGAGGGGTTGGCATTATCTTTAGCTATTTGTATTTTCATTTCTTTATCATCTTCCCTCCCATCCTCCTTCTTTAGCCTGCTATTTAATTAAAGGAAATGGGCACTGGTGGTGATACTGATAAAGAAGTGACTACATGCAAGTTCCCTGTTAACTCGGAATCCCTTCTTCCCACCATAGAGTACCATATAGTTTTACAGATGTAGGTATTCCGCAATGGTTGTTTCATTGGGGTGTTTGAGTTCTGATTTGTAGCATTATTCATGATGCTGGCAATTCAGGAGACCTTCTGAAGAAGAGGTCTTATCTCTATTTGTTGAAGGAGTAAAGCCAAATCTGTAATAGCTCTTTTTTTAATTAAACCTACTCCTGTATATGAAAAGGCCTACTTTAAATTTCCCTTTAAAACTTATTTTGGAAAATTTGACAAGCCTTTGTTTAATAAGTAAAATATGTTCTCAGTGAGGGAGGGAATTGTCCACATTTAAAATTTCATAAATTATTATGAAATGTTGCTAAAATCTCCCTTTTGCTTCTCTGTCTCTGAAGGGTTGTAACCTGAATCTACAAACATATTGCTTATAAATGGGCTGTATTTTAAAAAAATGTTTATACTCATAACAATGTCCATGTATGATTCTGTTCCTCTATCTCTTTTTTTCCCCTCCTTGGCAGGGAAGATAATGTTCTACACCAGTTCTGTTGTCCACCTTCTGGGTCTAGTAGTCCATCTTCAAGATAACAGAGAAGGTCTGAGTCGCTATTCTGTGCAGTCAGAGTACCACATCTTGCTCTTCTTTCTCTGGCTGGTGTGTATGAAGCTGACAGTAACTTGCATGGATACACTAATGGTTCTGAGTTCAATATACTCAGAAGGGTTTATGGCTGCCTGGTTACTTCCATTCTGCTTTTTCTTCTATATGTTTTCACAAAAACTTGTCCCCTTCCCTCCATTTTTTTCTTATGTGATTTGGAATTATGCATATGGGATGTAAACTAATATGTAAAACTCACATATTTTGAACTAAAATAAAAGCCATATACCTGTGTTCTGTATAGTTTTTATTTTTACTTTATTTTTTGCTTACAGTTTTAAAGACTATCAGCCCATATACCCATATCCTAAGTTCCATGAGCAAGTTTTCACATAAATGTCATTTTCATTCTCTCTCTCTCTCTCTCTCTCTCTCTCTTCCTCCTTTCCAACATTTCATTGCATGTTTGTGCAACTGCTAATACTGTCAAATCTGCATATTGCAATTAGATTTTAATTTTCCCAATTTTAGAGAATCTGGCACTCTGGTTTATCTTATCAAGTGTGTATAAGAGTGTCCCATTCCCTCAATTTTTAAAGCAAGTTTCTTGTCTCATCTTGTTAATTACTTATTACTGAATGTTCTGCTGAAACAATGCATATTCTGTGTGCAGAACTGATACTCATAAGTTTTTAATGGAAACATCAAATTTTAACCTGCACTGAGAAGGTTAAAATATTTATATTTTATGGTATATGACGTCTCAGATGAGTAGTTGCAGAACATGGGAAAAAGAGATGTAAGGTAAGATGCTCTTAAGTAAAGTTAAACATGAGTTTTTTTCCCAACTTGGAATGCCAGGCATGCAACTCATTGATCGTGTTTTACTATGCTAAGCAATTTGCTAACTGACTGCTTCCTTCTTCTCTGTTACAGTGCTCTTCTTTATAATATTGTAATCTCTTTTTTATACTCTTTGACATTATTTTGGTACTGCCTATTGCAGTAAGAGAGACACTTCTAAGAGGAAAATTTGAACTGCATAGATATATCCAAGTGTGACTTACAATGTTCATTTTGTCAATTTTACAATATGCTCAGTATTGCACTTCCTACTGCAAGATCTTAATAGATAAGAACATAAGAAGAGCCATGCTGGATCCAACCAGCATGCTGGCCACAGTATCCCCAGGCAGGATATGAGTGCAAACCCAGCAACTGGTACACATAGCCGTACTGCCGCAGCTGTTGGAGAGAGACAACAAATAGTGGTTCTTAGGTCTCATTCTCTGATAATGGATACATCAGTATTATTCTTCAAATCTCTGGATCTTACATTTTCTTAGCCTTTACTTTTATTTAGGAACAAATGTCTCACACTGTAAGAATTGCTGTGACTTGCTTATCTTTTTACAAATATAAACAATAATTATCTCTACCCTAGTGTAGTGAAGGAGATCACTGTAATTAGCCCTTTCGTACAAATTTCTTCTGGAATCTTTAATCTGATAACCATTTTGTTTATATATACGAAAACAAAAATAGAAGGTCTTGCTCTATACAAGAATGTTCAAGGCATTCATTATGGGTGCCAATTTTCAAGTTAAAGGATTCCTAATTAGTATGGCCATAGTTATAATTAATTGTGCTTTATTACACCAAAATGCAAGTCACATCTCTACTTCTACTTGTAACAAAGAAAAAATGGCTGTGTGTGTGTGTATGTGTGTGTGTGTGCCTTCTTGAGCTTTACAAGCAAAAATATAGTATTTCAGCTCATATACTGTTAACATCTAAAATTCTTTGCATTGGTAAACATGTCTTTAAATAAATTGTGTCAGAAAATCTGATCTTCAGTACTAGAGCAGAAGCTGGATATCCCACTTTCTTTTTTAAGCGTACTGGGGCTTCAAGGCTGGAATTGGCAGAATTCTTTTCCTCATTAACCAGTCTGAGTTTAAGCAGGCAAATTAACTGCTTCATAAAATAGAAATGGAAAGCTAAGCTGAGGGAAGAGAAGGGAAATCACTGTGTCCTCTGATATTGTTTAAAGTTCCAAATCTGGCAGCACAGCCTGTCCTTTCCGTTGGGCATGAATGGATTTTCCAACAAATGGAATTTAATGTACACTTCTTTAAAAGCAGAAAGATGAGTGGTGATTTTTTCCTGTTGATTTCTTTATTGTGTCAGCAGTGTGAAGAAATTGTGCATAGCCCTTGCAAAGCAAGTTCACAATTATGCTCTGAGAATGGTTTACACAATTAGATCACTTAATTTGGCACTTTGTCACTACTAACACTTAATAAGTTGGCATCCAGTTTCTACAAGGGTCCAGCTCTTATACTGATGGCATGCTTGATGCCTCCGTGTTTACTGAGTGTTCTGTCTATAGGACCAATAAATGTAGTACTATGTATAATATTTTTTGTTCAGAGTTCTACAGGTTCCATGAAGTAACAAAGTATTTTTGTCCACTTGATGTGATATTTTTAAGTTAAAAATAAGTTAATGGCTTTACTTTATAGGTTAGGAAAAATACCACCAAATCCTGGAAGTTACCAGCATGGTTAATCAGAAAGGTCAGGCATGTTTTCAGAGAAAAGAAACTTCTTTCAGAAATGGAAGTCTTGCCTAAATAAGGAAAACAGAAGGAAGCACAAGCTTGCTCAAGAAAAGAAATGCAAAATAATTTTTTTTGAGAATATATCACTAACAACATCAATAAGGGATTTTTTTGGCTAAACAGTGGTACCTTGGCTCACAAACTTACCATATTTTTCCATCTATAACATGCCCCCATGTATAGTGTGCCCCCCACTTTTCCTAAGGATTTGCAGCGAGCAAGCATGGGTGCACTCGGGGGGGGGGGAGATGGCTGCGATCATGCTGGTTGGGGAGGGGAAGAGATGACCGAGATTGCACCTGTCTTTCCTGCAGGAGCACACCTGTGATCGCACACTTCTTCCGTGTACAAATGCAACTGCAATCGTGGCCATCTCCCCACTTGGTGCGGGGGGGAGATGACTGCGATCTTGGTTACCACCTAGTGCAGAGTTCACTACGCAAGTCAAAATTTTCATGAAATTTTTGTTCACAACCCGATTTGGTTGTGAACCATGTTCGTGAGCTGAGGTACCACTGTATCAGAAACAGAAAACCAGCTAAAGAGGCTGTTGTATCACTGGATAACAACCGAGTTAAAGGAGTACTAAAGGAGGATAAGTAGACTGCAGAGAAGCAGAATGAATTCTTTTCATCTGTCTTTACTGCAGAAGACAAAGAACAGATGCTTGCACTTGGACTAGCATTTTCAGGAAAGGAATCTGAAGAACTGAGTCAAACCATGGTGATGAAAGATGATGTTCTCAACATTATCAACTAACTGAAAGTTATCAATGTCACCAAGCTTAGTTTGGTATCAGTCTTCTTTAAAAGTTCAAATATTAAATTGCTGAATTTATTACAAAAATATGGAACATCCCTAAGATCAACTTCTGTACTGGAGAACCTGAGAAATAGTCACTGTCACACCAATTTGTAAAATGGTATCTGGGATACCAGGAAATTTACAGACCATTTTGCTTAAAATCTTTTCTGGGTAAATAGGTTTAAAGAGCTATTCAAGAATGAAATTAGTAAGTATACAGAAGGATGAGCCATGCTGAAGAAAAAACAGCATGGCATGCACAAATATGAATCCTGTCTCATAAACTTTGTAGCGTTCTTTAAGAGTGTTCATAAACATGTAGACAGAGGCAATCTGATAGACACTGTTTTCTTAGAATTCTGAAAGGCTTTTGATAGAGTCCTTCACCAAAGCCCCCTGCACAACGTAGTCATAGAATAAGAAGGGAGGCCCTCTTATGGATTAGTAACTGGTTAAGGAATAGAATGCAACATGTAGGAATGCATGGTAAATGGTACTTCCCACCAGAAATATATATTTTATTGATACTTTTTGCATTTCTATACCATCCCACAACCAAAGTTCTCTAGGTAGTTTACAACAGTGCATAAAACAAATAATAAAATATGATTACAATATATGAAATAAGAAAGAAATTTAAAATTTTAAAAAACCGAAAATCAAATAACAAAGAGTCTCCAAAACACATAGAAACAGAAGGAGTCAGAAGGAGCCTCTTGGGCCATCTAGTCTGACCCCTGGCTCCAGCTGCTTCTGCTCATGACATGCCCACCATGGGGCACCTAGGATAGACAATCCCTTCAAGCCCCTGGGTATCCTGATAAATCTTTAAAAGCCTCTGGATAAGGGCCAACTAAACCTGGTACTTAAAAGATGACAAATTTGGGGCCACACTGGGGACGTTCTTTCATAAATGGGGCTGCTTCCTGATTATTGCCACTCTCCATGCTTCCCTTGGAGGTGGCACTTGGAGAAAGTGTTGGGAGATGTGCTCTTTTGGATATTGCAGTCCTAAGCTATGTAAGGCTGTGTAGGTTAAAACCAACATCTTTAATTGGGCCCAGAAGCATACAGGCAGCCAATGCAAGTGGGTCAAAATAGTGTTTGGACCTGCAGGTCCCAGTTATTAATTTGGCTGCTGCATCTGCACCAGCTGCAGCTTCTGAATCATCTTCAAGAGCAGTCCCATATAGACTACTTTGTAGTAATGCAATACAAAGAATACCAGAGCATAGATTACTGGAAGTAAGCTATTCCTGTCCAGATAGGGTGGACAGGCCATCAGCAGAAGCTGGTTGTACAAAGCACTCTCGGATACTGAGGTCACTTAAGCCTCATATGAAAAGTTGGATGAAGGAGCACCCCCAAAATCCTGCCCCTTTAGGGGAAGTGCAACCCAATCTAGAACAGGTTGAACACCATCTGCTCAGAGGAATCACCCACCAGCAGCATCTCAGTCTTGTTTAGATTGCATTTCAGTTTGTTAGCTCTCATCCAGCCCATTCTTGTATCGACATTCCAGTTTAGCATATCCACAGCCTCACCTGCTGACAATAAACAGTGGGGTCCTCCCTGTATCTGTATTGGTACCAATGATTTTCAATTTATCCATAAACAATCTTGAATTAGAAGTGAGCAGGGACATAACCCAAGTTTGCTGATAACACTGCATTTTTTAAGATGGTTAAAACAAAAAGCATTTGAGTGGAACTGCCAAAGGATCTCTAATAATTGGGAGACTTGATATTAAAATAGCAGATGTGATTAAGTAGAAGCAAGTATTAAATGATTTACGCTGGACAAAAAATTC